TTGCTTCGAAATTCGAAAGGTACCAGTCAGTGTTAGCTAACTAAAGCACACGTACTATAATAGTGCACACTGTTGGCTTTTTATTACACTTTCTTACCAGATTAGTTCGCCATAAATGCGTTTTTTTTTAAGGGTTCTGAGCGTTTGAAGGCGGTAATAAGAGCTCTTAGAAGCGGTAAATTTTACCGGTTACCGCCTGATAAGGAGAACCCTGCTGTTCATGGTCCAATACAAGGCGGTGCAAATGTTTCTAAGGACTCTCTATGCCCATTACATGAACACATACTTAAATCTAAATAAGGAACGAGAAGGACTTCAGCAGTGCTTAGAAGTTCAAGTAGGGAACGGAACATCAGGAATATCCGCTGCCTCAAAGGTAAGTCGTAACCTTTAGCTTCTTTCGATGTGCTCTGTAACGATTTTTTAATTACTGAAAGGGTTGAACCTATGATGCAGTTTAAGGAGTGAAACGAAGGTAGCGAGTTTAACCGAGTCTAATTCCATAATAACGTACGTAGAAATGCTCATTTGTTACACTGTAAAATCATTGTTTTGCCTCGAGGTATTACGACCGAAATTATTAATATAGTGATGTAATGGCATTCCCTCAGTAGTTTAAATTTCTTTTCTAGCCGTAATCTACGATAGACTGCTATGATGCAAAATACAATATCATGACTAGCACCGTCAAACGCAATAGGATTATCTATGCAAATTTTTGTGACAAATACAATTTCGACAACAACAACACTCATTATGCATCCACCTGAAAGCTCGTTCAAGCTTCAACCCCAATTTTCTTATCTTTCCCCTTTTTAGTTGCTTTTTTAACGCGATTCAATTCATAACACCATGAAAAAGTCCACAGAGACTAAACGAGTTAGTTCGCGTTAAACTTCTACTTTTAGCATTAGCAACGATATCAATTTTGCCCTGCATTCGCCCCAACGAGAATGTGACGAGATCTCGCTTTCTAGTTCCAGCATGGCTAATATTTGTAGATCGTAAGAACTCCGATTCTTTAGCGACTGATTAACGCGTTTGTCATCCTGAAAAGTTTATTCGCATCTTTCGTTGATTTGTCGTAAATAGCGTTTGTATTTGCAAAGGGTTCTTGTTGTCATAACCTTTTACGCGTGACCTGGTGCTAATTTAAAGAAATGACCCTGACGCGCACGTGCAACGTTTCTAGTTCACGGCAGGGAAATGCATTTCATGCACAAAATACATGTAGTGACTTGTGCACGAAATTTTTATGAGTTCTCCACGTTAACTTCCTTTAGTTTGTCATTCCATGTTTTATTTTTTTGGTCTTTGAGGAGAATAAAATTTCTATACCTGTTACGTAACGTTGAACGAATAATTTTATCCTTAGCAGGAGCCCATTTCTCCTGTCCTTAGTAAGGATTTCTTCTAATAATTGCAGTTCTTTCTTTCTTCTTTCGATAATTTAGCATTTATGACGAGAAACATCTTTCGGCCGTGTCAGTTTAAAATTTTACATTTTGTCGATATTCAGATCACGTGTAAATCACGCGATTACGACTTTAACAATGTTCTCATCAACCGCCGTTCTCGATGAGTTGATAACAAACTCTTGGCCTGTCCGATTTTTCAGTGATTTAGATTAAGTGAAATTTAAAATGGCATTAATTCTGATATAGCGAAAATTTCATGTGGGTAAAATATCACTTTAATATTTGCAGTGTTGGATGGGAAGCACATTCTCTATCGTCACGCGTTCCACTTGTCACGTTTGAAATCACGTGCTCACTCAGCCGGCAAGCAGTCTGTGAGGAACGTTAAGGTCTGCAAGTCCTTGCAGACTTTGCTTTAGGGCTTTTATCACCTACTCGCGAACGAAGAAACGCTAATATAAAGAGGGCTGCTTGCACGCACGCTTATGCTCACACACAAATATCTCTTGTTTAAAAGTTTTAATAAGATTACAACCTTGAGATAAAAGAAAAAATAGGAGCGAAAGACCCATCACAGCTGCAAATTTGCTAAGAACCTTAATTGTGAGAGACAGCTAGCTAGGGAATTCAAGCACAGGGGTTTTCCTTGAAACGCTGTTGGTGACCGTAAGGCGAATGCGATTGCCCCGTTTTATGCGCACTATAACACCTATTAATCTGTTGGAAAGGCAATTTTTTTAGCAGCAAAAGAAAAACACCAAAGATTCGCTCTAAGCTCTGGGATAAAGCCCTCAGAACTATCGCCTACCCTTCTTTTCACTGAATTGAGTTAGAAATCGTGAAATGTCTCCTTCCGTTTGAACAAACAATTCAGTACTATCTCTTTTATGCGTGATCATTTTTACGAAAATTCTTTTTTACGAAAAATTTTTTTCACTATAAATGGTATAACCTATTGTTTCTCAGGCGTTTCCACCGTTCTACCCATGACCGAATCGCAAGACATCTCTCCCTTGTTCCAAACTGCTGATGAGCAATCTGAGCCAATCAAAGCAGAAGTTAAAGGTAACCTCCCCTCATGGCTGACCGGGACCATGATAAGGAATGGACCTGGTAGATTCGAGTGTGGTGACACGTCGTTTAATCACTGGTTTGATGGCCAAGGTCTGCTACACAGCTTTCACATACAAGATGGTCACGTGACTTACAGCTCCAAGTTTGTACGAAGCGAAAGTTATGCAGACACAAAGAAACGCAAAAACTCCATTCATCTCGAATTCGGCTCTTTTATTGCCCCAGATCCCTGCCAGAATATCTACGACCGTTTTGTGTCGAAGTTTTGGATGAGTGAAGTGCCTTTTGACAACGCATTTGATTCCGTGTTTACCTTGAAGGACAGAGTCTTTGCAGCAGCTGATTCCAACATCATATTTGAAATTGATCCCAAGACCTTGGACACTTTAGATAAGGTCGATTTTGCCAAAGAGTTTCCAGGTAAAATGAGCATTTCTTGGTAAACAGTTTGTATTAATCAGTTAAATATTTATTACTCTTTCTGTTGGTCAATATAAGGTTTGAAGGTGAATGCACTGCTTCCATAAAATAAAACTCTTTCTCTTACTGACATTTTAGATTTGGCCAATCAGAGAGCCGTTAGGTCTCGGTTATTTCTTTGTATGTTGATCTGTCCCATTCTACTTTTGAATAACTACTTACCGTAGTTGTTTGTCCCACAAGGTGACGCCAAGATCAAATTCACCACAGCACATCCCCAACACACTGAGGATGGTTCACTTATCAACATCTCCGTGACACACGCTAAAGACTCTATGTACGATATCATAGAAATCCCAGCCTCCAAGACGGGAAAGGACGAGCATCCTCTGGAGGGGGGTAAATTGATTTGCTCGATCCCACCCACCAACGGAGTTGGGTATATCCACAGTTTTTGCATCACCGAGAACTATATCGTGGTTCCTGAAGCACCACTGGTACTGAATTTGTGGGAAGCTTACGTTCACCGGTTAAAGGAGAGTGGTGTCGTTGATTGGTTCCAGTGGATAGAAAATGAACGTGGCAGATTCCATGTTGTCGACAGGAAGAAAGGTACTCACGTTGGAATATTTACAGCTGATCCGTTTTTTACGTTCCATCAGGTCAACGCTTTCGAAAGGGACGGGAATATTTATGTAGACACTTGCTGTTTCCATGATCACACAATCATCAAACAGACATACTTGCATAACATGCGATCCACCATAATCCCAGGGGTAAAGAAGCTCGATATCCCTGACATTCGACGCTACGAGCTTCCTCTCAAAGACCTCGGAGATGTAAAGTATGGAAAGCCCCTTGAGAGAGGACCTGACGGCCTGGATTATACTATTCTACATGCCGGCGTGGAATTTCCAATTATTAACGACACAGAAAAGAATGGCAAGCCCTACAGTTTTTTCTATGGTGTAGGAGCTGATGATCAAAAGTGGTTTAGTCACCTGGTGAAGGTGAATACAGAGACCAAAGAGTATATCACGTGGGGAGAGCCTGGAGGTTTTGCGTCAGAGCCTGTATTTGTCAAAGCGCCTGATGGGAAAGATGAAGATGACGGTGTGGTGCTGTCATGCGTAATAAACATCCCAGAGGAGACCACCTACCTTTTGGTGCTGGATGGTAAAGAATTCAAGGAATTGGGGCGAGGTGTAGTAAAAGGAATTACACCAATGAGCTTCCACACCGGCTTCTTCAAATAGAACATAAACTCGTATGTTATCACCTGGCTAAGCATTAAATGGATCGTGGTCTACTTTTGTAGAACTTGTAGAGCTCCATTTAGCCCATCCTACTTTACTAAGTTGAGAAGCCGTAGGAATGATTTATTTCAGTATAATTGTTCAGGTGATTATCGAGATACGCGCACTTTGATTGATTGCGGATTGCTTCATATCTCGCGATAGTCACCACTCGCGCAAGTTGTTTGATATTAAAGCATAGAGTCGGATCAAACAGCTGAAATAAAATTTTTGTCTGTCCCAATGAATGTTAGGCTATTGCTTTGGCAGTTGTAACTAGTAGCTAGTAGCTATCAGAGTGCGATATCCTGGAATTCTCCGACGCAGGAGACAGTAGCCAAGAAGTCTCAAAATTTGGTTATGTGTGTTTTAATGAAAACTAAAGTTTTACAAGGTCTTCGCACGATCACGATCAAAGGCTATCTAAAATATCGACGTTTCGGATTGACAACTTATTGGGAGTGTACTTCCTGTCATTTTACATATATCTGGGCTGAAAGATTACATAATTGCGTAATGTGTGCCCTAGTCCCCGCCATGCGATATAGAATTCTAAGATCTTATTTACTTATTTACTGTATCGCAATTTGTTTTTTATCACAACCTCTAATCAAATCTTCTAATGCCAAATCTGCAATCTTCATTTTGCTCTGTAATGGGCGTGGGATTTGTTACCAACTAAATTTTATTTTTAGCTTGTATTATGTAAACAGGTTTCTCTACAACGGTCATGGTCAACCCACACTTTATTATAGTTACAGCTTTGGAAATGTGCGTGCCTTACATTTTAGAATATTTTAATGTTGTTCCATACAGATACCTTTTATATTAACCAAGTCGCTTTCGAAGTCGTATTAATTGTGTCGGAAAAGATATGGCTGCATCTTTAACAGATTCGCTCAATTTTTTAAGGTCTTTTATTAAGTTAGAATCTCATTAAATGGCTAAGGTACATACTTGCTGATAATTTGTGCTTTACTAAAGAATTTGTTGTCAATTTATTCGTTCACTCCTTTTGATAATTGGAACAGTATCCAAGGAGGCAACAACAAATTAAAACAAAAAGAAACACATAAAAAAATCCAAGATTGAAATTATGAAGATATGTTGGTGGAAAGCAATTATAGTTTTCTGAACGCAGGCTTTCTCTTCTCAAAGTTTTCAACATGAAATAAGTCGCTTTGTTGGTTTTGTTGACAGTTTGCTAGTTTGTCCATCTTTTGCCTCGTAATTGGGAAATCTGAATGGCTCGTAAAATCGTTCGATTATATTACACACAAAAAAAGCTCAAAGAAAACAAACAGAATAACATCTTACCTTTAAATGATTCTATGTAACATGCAGTCACGTGATGATAATTACGCTCTCTGCAATAATATATATCACTGGAAAGGATTATTAACATTAGACCTCACTAACATATGTTACGCAAGCTTTATTTACTTCTTTATTTACTTCTGATAATATCATTACTAATATTTTTTCAAGAGATTAAAAACTGAGAGAACCTATCCGCGTGACCCACGATTTTTTTTTTAAAGTCAGTATTTAAATTTCGCGCCACGCTGGGAAACAACTCTTTTTTTATACCTCCCATGATTACGTGTTAAACGGTCTCGATACCATCCACCTGTACGGTTTTTCAAAAATTGAGGTATGGCTTCAAGGCTAAACAAGGTTACGGAGTTAACACATTTCGATCAAATAATAATAAGTTACTTGAGGAGTGTCTAGTTCACGAATGCTTTGGAAATGTTAGCAACATATCCTTCCTTTGTGGCTCTTATGCTTCTCCGTTACACTTGAGCTTTCCTAGTGTGTGATATCCTTCTTCTCGTGGCCAGTCCCCCAAGTCACCAAGTCTAATTTGTGAGACGGGCAGGACAGACTTGTCTGTCAAAAGGCCACTATCCTCTCTCCAGCCGGCCTTATTAAACAAAAACCAATTACCATCGCAGTTGCACCTTTTACTAGTGGTGCAAGAGTTTGTCACTCCGCATGCGCACATTCTATAATGACCTCTTGCTCCGCCCCAGTAATTCATCCGTGTTCCATTACGTGACACCCACCAAGCATAACCATCCGAAACCGACGCTACGTCATTTTTACATTCGTACTTGATAAACTGTTCACAGTTCTTTGAGACTTGAGTGAGCGCTGCTAGCTGAGCGGTGCTGACTCCAGTATATCGTACATCTTTCCTGTAACATCCTGGGGATTCACATCCATTTGTATTTCCGACGTGAGTTCTACTCTCACTGTCGTGACTGATGACAGTCACGCCAACTCCACCCTTGTCACTCATGTCACAGTACACACTGAAGGGTGTCACGCCTCCTTTGCCATCAGGGTCAATGATGTAATTACCTGACGGGGCACCAGGCTTCTCTGCTTTTATTCTGCTGCAGCCGGACTTGGGCCCGGGCTTAAAAACTTCGACGACTGATGTTGCCTCGATAGACCGCTGAAAATTTTTAGCTTCACATGAGTAACTCCCAGCCTCATTTGGAGAAACTTTCGTAAGCAGCAAAGTTCCATTTGGATACAGAACATGATTTTGAGGAAGTGCTTGACCCGACTTTTTCCAAAATATATTTAGTGCACCTTGTGCTGCACAGTGTAAAACTACTTTGCTGGAGGCTGATACATTCACTTTTTGTGGAGGGGTTATTCTAAATTTGAGTGTGTCAAGAACTGTCACTTGGGCGACAGCTGAGTCTTCTCCGAGTAGATTCGTTGCTACGCATGCGTAAGCTCCCCCGTCTGCTTTTTCTATATTAGAAATAGTCAGGGTTCCATTGACCACTGTCGTCTTTTTCCTCGGTAGTTGGCTCAAGGCTTTCTGCCATGTGACCGTTGGAGTCGGCTGACCGCTGGCTTGGCAGACCAGGGTCACGTTTTGGTTTTCTTCAACAAGTACAGACGAAGGTTTCCGAATAATGTTGGCACCAACTGGAAAAGGAAACAGAAAGAAACTAAAACTTTAGTGTATTATAGGAAATACTTTGTCATTGATAAAGACAGAGGTAGGCCATGTTTTTCTATAACTTTAGGACATCAGCTCCTATTCCCAGCCTGTCGTACCCTACCCAATGTCACGCATGCGAGTGAGGCTATAGTATACTGAGCTATCACTATTCCGTCTTATCGTACGAGTAAATAAGAACTGATCAAATGTAACAAAATAAATATGCTTAAAGACAAAAAGTGAAACGCTAGCAACCTTGAATAGACAACGCAGCTGTAGCATTCATCATTCCCAAGATGTTTTTTGCAACACAAGTGTACATTCCGTCATCCCCTGACGTAACACTCGTGATCACCAGACTTCCACGTGATGCCACAATACGCTTATCCGTGGGAAGAGTTGAGTTCTGCTTTAACCATGTCACCTCTGGCTCTGGATTTCCAGCAGCCAGGCATTGAAACGAGGCTGTTCCACTTGCGTTTACCACCTGAGACTTTGGAAGTACCACGATCGAAGGAGTTGAGGTGGATTTGCCAGGGTTTCCCTTAACTCCGGGGGGTCCTATAGGTCCTGGAGGTCCCTGGGTACCCGGGGGGCCTTGGTTTCCCTTAGGGCCCTTAATCCCCTGTGGTCCGGGTGGTCCGTGTTTTCCTGGAGGGCCTTTGAGGCCCGGTCTTCCTCGTTTTCCCCTAGTGCTTTTGGGGCAATGTACTTTACAGGTTATGTCGCTCAAAGCAAGTCGCACTTCCCTTTGGATGACATCGCGATCGATGCTGTCGCTAACATTTCTTTTGTTTTTGAGGGTTTGCACCCGACGCTTGTGACGTACGTGAAACTCTAGATCTGTGAATAAGAGCGGACGAAAATAGTACACACTGTTATTTTTTGTGTTAAATCGCCACTGACATAATTTTATGACAAATTCAGGTTGGTTCAGATGTAAATCAGCAAAGTTAAACTTGCTGAACTCCCCCCTATGTCTATTTGGTCTCTGGGGTACGATTAGGGTCGGATTGGACGAGACGAAACGAAAATGCCCAAATATTGAACGGACAGCCACAACCTGTGATGACCTTCTAGATCTAACCAACAACCCTAACCATAGATAATATTCCCTTTGGAATAGGAGGTTTTACTGATTCAGATATAATATCAAATGGCGTTACCATATCAAAGCAGCTTAGACTAGATTTTCCCGATATAGTAATTGGCACATTATCTGACCGTTTTTTTTTCCTTTCTTCTATGCTCCCCTCTATATCTGTTAGGTTTACGTGTTGCTATTTAGATTTGATAGATATCGTGGTTTATATAGTGAGATGTGCACCTCATGCAACGAGGAAGTCAATTTGGCTGAAACGTTATGTATACTTAATGAAGCCTATTCCTAGCACAAGTGGATATTTCCTTTTGAAATATCACCATCTTTTGTTTATCTCTTAAGGAAGTCGTGAGGCTCACGGCATTAAATTATGCCGGAAGCTAAGCGATGTCAGGTTTCAGCAAGAAAGGACGAGTTGAAGGATGAAGCTAATACGGATACGAGTACGTTTTCTGACAGTAGCTGATTTATTAAAGTTTCAATGAAACGTTTTTGTCTCCCATTAAGAACTTAAAAGATTCTTTTTGACGGGAATCATCCCACATTTATAATTTTTGTGCTCACCGATGTTCAGTTTTACAGTAATAGTTCAATGGCAATTTTTGCTACACAGCGATTTTCATTTACCTTTATCTGAGGTATGTTCCAAGGAAGACATATCTTCGTCACTTCCCTTGTTTCGTATCTGGAGGTTTTCTTCCTTTAGTTGATTTAATTCTTGAAGCATTTTTCGATGAACGTGAAGTTCAACCTCAACATGAATGAATCCTACAAGACAGATTACAGTGAGGAAAACAAGCGTGCTGGAGGCTTGTCTTGGCTGTGATTTCTTCATATTAACGTTCAGCAAGGCGGCAGAGAATTGCTGGCTTGCGAAAAAGCCTCTAGTATAAAAGCGCAGCCGGCAAGCTGACTACTCTAATTTCGTGTTGCTGCTACGTGTTCTCTTAATCAATCTTGTCAATCATTACTTCCGCTCACGCTGTGCATGTGATGTGCAGTCATCTCTCTCGTAAGCGGACTCTCTCGGGAATATTGGAAAGAGCGTCCTCCTACGAGAATTGTTCCCTTAGTACCAAAGAAAAAAATTATATTGGGAAGGAAGTCCGCTTAAGGGAGATTCAAGGAGGAAAGTAGATCATGACGAATGTGGTCGTAACTTGACATCATAAATGTTATGTCAAAAGAACGGACAGCTTGCCTTCCCGCTTTGCTCAGTCAAAGGTCATATCTTTGTTGATTTGCAAATTAAGGAAATCGCTATGTATGAGGTGTCCGCTTACAATAGAGCGTAGACAAATGGAAAATCCAATTTTGTGTCCGCGTTTGTTTAGGAGAATGCTTACGCTTACGGGAGTGTTTAAAAGCACAGTTTTACTGGCTGGGTGGCAAAACGGGAATGAAAAATAGTGTCTGTAAATAGAGCTGTCTTCTGATGCGAGTGTCCGTCCGCGGAGAGTTCATTGTGTTTATATTTCTTTTAACAGGCCAGGTCACATGAATAAGGAACTTTCATGCAGTTATGGTATGCAGTCAGAATAATAACTACTTAGTTACGACACAGCACGACTGTTACGTCACAAGTTTTCAGGATAAGGATAACAAGTGCACGTTCTAGATACTTAAACCAAAAGTCCGCCGTTAAAGAATTTATCCTTGAAATGTAACAAACTTTACCACGCAATCATTGGATTGACACTAATCAAGTTGTACCAAACTCACGTTTGATATTGGGAATATCGAGATGCGAACGAATCTTGAATCAGTTGTGTAAAGATTTAAGCGGAAGGATCTTATATCTTTGTGACTCAAATCACTCAAAGAACAGCTAGATCTCTAGATTTAAGATAATCAAATCAGAAGTCGTCATATACAGGGACTGGATCATCAATCGCGATACGCCTTTTGGAACACGGTAAATTAAAGAATTGCATTGTCATCTCTGAAAAGGACTTAAAAATTTTCTTCTTTACCCAACATCAAACGCTAACACATTCAATGTAAGACGTATATCAAGATATATCCCTGGTAAAGTATCTTCTACTCAATCGTTACCATGATATTCTACGTCAAACAGAACTGCTAGCTTCTTCATAACTACCTTTTTCCTTGACATCTCCAGAATCTATTGATCAATTTGCAAAAGTTTTCGGCGGAAATGAATAAGATAAATTAGACAGCTTCATATCAGTTTTTCGGTGTTATAGAGTTAAGATGTGCGATATATGAACCCTCAAAATTTAAAAGAAAACGTGCATTAAGAGATTCTCGGCACAGCGGTCTCAACAAGCTCTGAATTCACCAGAGAACACTTAGTGGTTTAAACATTTATGGTTTAGAAGAGATTTTTTTTGAGCCTCTGACGCTCTCAAAGCGTATGTTTACATGTCTTGTGCTGTTGCCCGATATTTACTCGAACAGAGAGTAAGCATGTCTGATAGTCTCTTGAACTGGAGGAGCTGCAGAAATTCTCGTTTCATCTCTTTGTCTCTGAAAGCATAGATGAATGGATTTACAGCGCTGTTCGAGTAATGCATCCATTTGACGATTTCCACCAGGCGCTGAAGATCGCGGCTTGCAGGCAAACACTGAGGACAGTAAACAGCAATCATTAAAAGTGAATAAAATGGAAGCCATGCCAGAAAGAAGAATCCAGATACCACTGTTAGGGTCATCGCCACTTTAATTTCTTTCTTTAATTGACTCTTTTCCCGGCAGGATATTCTACAAGTCCCGTCTGAACCAGGTGTATGGCGGCTCAGTGATATGGCGATGCGGAATATCCCAGCGTACATTAAGCTGACAATTACAAGTGGACCAAGAAACCCCACAATAGTAAAACTCGGCGCATAAAAACGTTGAAGCTTGAATAGTTTCTGCAGTGGAGTTGACGAAGCAATGAGGGCTGCTAATAGCCATGCCGATGTAATCGTCGCCGTGTAAACTCGAGACGAAAGGCGTTGATATAAGAATGGCCTTGAGACAGAAATGAAGCGCTCGACGCTAATGGCTGTTAAATGAAACACCGATGTCAGAGCGCTGAAAATGTCCAAGCTAATGAAAAACTCATAGAAAACCTCGCCTTTGCTGATTCCAAGGCCTGAGATGCAGATCCAAAGCGGTAAGGAGGCGACTCCCACGATGCAGTCGGAACAAGCCAAGCTGACCAGAAATACATTGCCTCTCTTTCGCAATTTTCGGTTGTGAATGAAAGCAGTCATAACGATTGAGTTGCCGATGACGATTGCAAGTGCGAGTAAAACTGAAAAGAAAACAAAGACGAGGGTATCCACTTCGGATCTGGGATGTAACGCTTCAGGCGAAAGTGAACTGTTAAGTGCTTCGGTTCCACTGTTGATCATGGATCTGTTTCGCTCACCCATCATATTTCGCCTTTTTTCCTCACCTTGTTTCGCCTCGCGCTCAGCAAGTTTAAGAGAATAAAAATCAGTTCAAATCTAAGCGGAGAGTTTTAAATAAAAGAACAAACACATAAATCAAGCGCAGTTGGTGATTGACGTTTTAAAATCTTCTTTTCCGGTGTAAACAGCTGCTTGTCAGCTCTTCCTTTTCTTCTACCCTTTACTTAAATCAGTTTATGGAAACAACATAATTGTCGCTTTCCACGGGTGTAAAAATATATTTCTTCGGGAGATTACTGTTGCAGCATTTGCAGATAAGCGGTTTTCTAGGCCTGCATTCCGATTACCGTATCTTAAGGTCGCAATATTTTACGACTGTACGTTCATTTCACTCGTCTCGATCGAATATATTATTAAGTAACTGTAGAGCTTATTTCCACCTTGTCAAAGAATACTCCATTTCAATAGTTTTACGGAAGTTTGGTTGACATAAGAACGTTCTAGTAATTGAAAGGGAATAGAAAATGAAAACAGTGGCTGTCACTTTTTTTTCTCAGAGAATGGAGAAAGACGATAACTCTTGCAGTTAAGATACAAATCGTCAAAAGCTCTAAAAAGCGACCAACATATAATCGAATGGCCACAAATTTTATCATGTGAAACCTTTGATTTTGCCGATGAGGCCGAGGAAACAGAGGAAAGTCCAAAAGAAAAAAGGGAATGAAAAGTATAGAGATATTTGGAAATATTTTCAGTAGTCTAAATGTAAATTAAAAGCGTATTGTTGAAAGTTGTCTTACAAATAAATGTGGAAAAGTGATACTTAGAGTCGTGGTTTAATGAAACACAAATAAATCAAAACGTATATGTGTCAGAAATTCGATTATTTGTTCTTTTCCAGGCTAAATACAAAGTACGGTCCTCAGCCATCCATTGGTTAACACAAAGAACAATGACGCAAGTGAAGTAACTAAAAATGTAGACTGAGATCGCAAATGTTTAAAAGGATCGGAAGCTATATCATCGCGGTGAAGCATAAGTTACAAAAATTCGATTTCTACTCTTTATTAATACCAATAATGTAGTAAGTAGTACAGTCATAATGATAAAGAACATTTTCTTAAAACATTTTAAGGCATATAAACAATCTCACGACAGTTTTTACAAGCAAACGTCCTTATCAATAAAAGGCTGAAAGCATTGAAATGAAGATCAAGAGATTTGTAAAATAATACAATTCTCGACCTTTGATTTAGGGAAAAAATAAATACCTAATGTAATTTTCAACCAGTTTCGAGGAATTTATTCAAGCTGAGGTATGAGAGCTACATTTCTCAATTTATTGTTTTCTATGCTTTGGACTTATCCTTTTAGTGTGAATACTAATGTAAATTTGGAGTATGATGAACAGGCTACTTTGAGTTTCAAAGAACAGCGCTTCCTCATTTACTGCAAGCACAAAACCTTTTCTTGCGAGAATGAGTTTTAATTATGACATAAATATAAGAGACATTTATGGAAATCTTCGCATTTACCTTCTTTCAAAGCATGAGGCTTAGAGAATCTCGAAGATAGCCTTACTTTCATATTTCATTAGGAGGGCCACAATATCGATCAATTCAATTTTCCAAAAAATCGGTCAGTGTTATCTGTCGCAAGTAAAAGGAAAAGTAAACATGTTCTTGACAAGGAATTGAACAAAAAACCTCCAGATAACCGCTAATATTTTATTCCTATTATTATCTCTATCATTTTATCTTTTATTTTTTTGGCGAGGTAACATTTCATTTTTTGTACAACGTATTTACATTATCAGTAAACAGTGAGGAAATTTCAGAACGACAACATCACTTTAGCTTGGTTTACTGATGGAATAAATCATTTCTAATGTTGCCATAATTTCTCTCTGTCTTCCTTCTCTCTTTTTCTACTTTTTCATTTCCATTTTTTTTTTTGGAACACAACAGTGGTCAGTTCCTTCGAACACTGATGTCAATGCACATTCATTAAAAGTATGAATAACAGAAATAGTTAATCAAAACACAATAGAGGCTGAAAATAGAAATTCGAATGAAATAAAGCGCCGTTTAACCATAAAAAATAAAAACGTACATAAAAAAAAAATTATTTAAAGAATAGATCAATAAAAAAGACCAAGAAATGGAAGACGAGACCTAAAATCGAGTGTAAGAGATTTGTCAAGGGACGCCAGAAATTACGTAATCACGTCATATCACGTAAAATTCCCATTTACGAGCTTGTTTTCTCAAAAGAAAATTGAGGTTCATTCAGACTTCTTTTAAAAACTTAACAGGTCTTTACCCGTTTGATTATTGTTTTGACCGAGCACTGTTTTTCCATGCGTTTTAACCCAGAAGGACGCAATCATTCGTTCCTCACATCAGTCACGTGAATAAAACTGAGAAAAGAAAAGTAGTACCAAATATCTCTTGCTATATGAACGAATTGCTGTTTTTATGTTAGCGTTAAGGCAGGAAAGAAAAATGTCCCGGCAATTGAAGAGGGGCGAAAGATTCCACTAGCTTGTTTGTTGGTTTTTAAGTTCTATTGATTTCGTTTGAATTGAGCATCAGAAATAGGTTGCTTTAATTTCGAATGTACAAATCGAGAATCTCATGTGTATTTGGAAATTCCGGCTCCACTCGACCACTTCTACAAAATCTTTTAAAAGGACCCAAAAGTCTCGCGAAGGTTCGGCGCATTTCGGCATCACGAAAGGCATATATGGCGGGATTGATTGCACTGTTTGAGTAATGCAGCCACTTTATAATGTCTACCATTTCATACTGAGCGTTGGACGAGGAAGGGAGGCATTGAACACAGTAGACATAGAACATGTTTACCACAAAGAAGGGCGACCACGCAACGAAGAAGAATCCGGTCATAACGAGAAGCGTGAATGCGGCCTTGCGCTCTTTACGAACTCGTTGCTTGAGGTTCCCGTGCTGTGATGGTGCGCAATGGATTAACACTCGTGCAACGCGGAAGATTCCTATGTTTACAAATGTAATTACCGACAACGGGCCTAGGAAGCATACGGTAAACAATGCGGTAGCGTATACCTTTAGGATCTTCAACTTAAGCTTTTGTTCGTCATTGTCCCGCAAATAATTACCAGGATGTGAGCAAGCGACGAAAATTCCTAAGATCCAGGACAACACCGATGCGAACGCATACGGTTTGATGGAGAGCGTTTGGTGGTAAAACGGTTTAGAGACGGCTATGAAACGCTCAATTGATATTGCCATAAGATGAAGGTTTGACACAAGGGCGCTGAAGATATCAAGAGCAGTGTAAAGTACCACAACAATGACACTTACTTTCCAGTTCATTATCGAGCCAAAGATTCGGATTGGCAGGGAGACACCTCCTACAAGGAGATCAGAGAAGGCAAGGCTCACGATAAGTGCATAGGCGCCAGTGTGAAGTCGACGATTTTTCATATAAGCTGCAATGACAAGAACATTTCCTACCACGATGATGAATATAAGAAGTAAATTAACCACAGTCCCTGCTTTCATTCCAATTCCAAGTTTTGCTAACGAATTTTTATCAGAGTCATTCTGTCCATTTAGAAGAGTAAAGTTCGTCATCTGACTTTTACTCATGACGGCGAAAAAGTCTCGAGCCAAGATCACTCATCTATGCCGGCACGGCTCTAACAAACTCGTTTACATTCATGTTGACGTGATTTCTTTTTTTTTTTTTTTTGTGATTCCTCATGTATTTAAAGATGAAATAATCAATTTGAGGATCATGCAGTATTTGAATAGCATAACCTGATTTATGAATTTCACCGCGGCCGAGCCTTTTAATAAAAAATCCACATCTTGAAAGTTTGTCATAAGTTCTTTACAACCATCAATTACAATTCCCCATTCACAGCATTCGCAATTCATTTGGCTTCTGTTTTTCTGACAAGATAATTTTTAGTAAGAATGTTTTAACATCGCAAAGTTCAAATAATACAGTGTTTCCATATGCATTCGGTCGGGTTTGAATGATCACAATGCAATCACTTATCTAATGAAATAAGTTTGCGTGCGTTAGTGATAGGTAAAAGGAAATGAACTTTTATCTGTGCTCCTAGATGTCTTTCTCTCTCAGTTTCGCTTAAGACAATGGTTTTCATCACGGTTGAGGCTTCCGACATAGGAAATATGTTTTGAGCTATTACCTAAATTATTTTGAATGTGTAAATATCAAAAAAACTTCATAACATCTAGCTGTGTATAAGTGAAATGAAATTTCGAAAACATTATGGAAATTTGCGGCATGCCTTTCGTTAATTCAAAAGAAATAAAGAGCTCAATTTTCTCCTTTTAAAACTGAACTAGACATCACGGTTCTCTTTTATACATGAATGTGTGCACATCTCTCACTTCCCGCGATCCTAGCTCATCCTAGAAATTGTTTGGATGTTCGAAGAGTTAAGCCATTGACTTTTTTTTTTAAAATTTATAAGATTACTGAAAATAATCTACTTCGTTCTGCTGCATTGAGAAAAATATGCGATGTTCGGCTTTTAGAGTTAAGCTTTATCTTTCCATCGACAGACTGTTTCTTTTATAACTCTGCCCAATAATATGAAATGGCTCATGTGCACAGCATCACTGAATTTGATTCTTAACAAAAAAAAGACACTCAGCCTTGTAAAATTTTATGCACTTACGAACAACTGAGACAGGCATGGAGATTTTACGGAAACGACCACATTGAGTCAAATATGCTGCGTCCTACATAAAATGAAATCACATTAAAAAATATTCATGCTGCAATCAAAGGGAATATAATCTTATCCCCTTGTTGGAGTTGATTGATCATGTTTTTATTAAGTATGACTGTTATTCATTTTAATTTGACAACCTGCATGGAAATGCACCAAAAGGTTGTTATGTTCTGCTCACAATGAGATCTGTGCCTTGGTTAAGTCAATTAAGAACTGGTCGACATGAAATATACATTCTCTAAATCCAACTCTCTCGTGTATGTGAAAATGATTGGCAAAGACTTACAAATACAATTTATCACTAAAAAAAATGTTGTTCAGAGATTTCATTTGAAAAACAGAAGGTTTAAGAGAAACTTTTGATTCTTCATTTTAGATTCATTTGATTTCCGCCCAGAGAAACTGTATTTCTCTATTTGCATTATTTGTCCCTTTGTAGCCTCTGAGATCGTTTAGGGGTTTATCTAATTCATGTAATAACAGCTTTGAGTGAATTTTTCTCAGTAACATGGCCTTCCGTGATCCTTCCAAGTTATAAGGGTGCCATAGCCAATCTTTGAACTACCTTTTTGTCATTCTGTCTTCCTATTGAAATTCACTAATTATTTTCTAGGGAACCTACAGAGACTCAACCTTTCTTACGTTTATTTCTCAAAACAATCTTCACGTAATAATTTTTTAGTTTATTAAAAACTTTCGGGTCAGATTTATGATTCTTCATGGGGTCCGGAATCATTATTTCTCAATTATGGCGCCAAAATACATTATGTATTTTACGCAAAAGGAACTTAGTTTCTACACTGCATCGCCAATATATTGATGAGTTCCACCTTTAAACTAATGTTTCAGTGATGAGCAATATATCTAAGAAGGACACTCACAAACACGTGACACCTGAATAAGGTCATTTTTGTCTAAAAGTCGCGAAAAAGCACAGGTTTTTTTAGTGTTAATCACTTTATAATGCCGTATCTAGTTGCCTTATCACTGGATCCCTTCCGTGCTATTGATTTGTGTGCGTTCTAATAGCTTCCAAGGTCATTTTCCGCCAAAATATTCTTCTAATAACTCCTCTGCAGGTATAAAAGCGAGGTTGCTATAGTGCACGATGTCGTTCTTGACGGGTCCATGGGCTCCGTGAGTTCCAGTCCCTTGCGGATAAGAATCTGTTATGGGGAAGACGTCAAGTACGAGAAACCCAGCTCTGCACATCTGCGTAGTAGCATAAGAGTTGTACAGCAAAATTCGCTATAAGGGCAATACAAATTGATAAGTATCAATCAGTTGGACAAAAATAGAAATCAGTAACAAAATAATGTCGATGATGACAGCAATGAAGATGAAAATAATTAGTAGCAATCAAAACTATGGCAAAAAGGAGACCCAAACTAACAACTCTAATGAATGCAAGCGAATTTCCTAGTTCTCCTTCTTGGAATAGGATTATATTTCCTACGAGGCGTCCATTTGATTTCAGTCATGAAATAAAGATCGAAAAAACACGAGAGAGGAAAATGGATTGCAAAAGAGAAAATACACATGGCGTAACCATGGTTTCGCAAACAGCTCGCAGTCACTTGCCTGTTGTGTAATAAACCTCTTATGTCCAAGATGAATGTTGCTTGCTTTTTCTTTGTTTATTGCTGTGGTTGTTTTCCATATAACTGTTCCTCGATAACTCCTCCACGTCCCATTCGTTGTCACATCATTTTTCAACACTCTCACTAAGCCAGCAATGAGTTTTTTGTAGCTCGTAAAGTTTGTGCTTTCAACAAAATGAAGTCCAAAGTTTAGTACAATGGCGCTGTTTTCGTCCATTTGAGGATCGTAGACAATGCGGCGAAAGTTTTCCAAAACTTTTTCATTGTTGTAATCTAAATTATCATATTGTCTCTTAGCAGCTGTAACATTATGGACAGGATAAATCCAATTATAACTGAAATTGCATCGTTTGAAAATGTTTCTACATATCCTTCTCTGTACCAGTGACTGGGCAAAGAAAACGTTGACAGAATCACCATAAACCCACAAAGTTCCCCTTTTTCTGCCAATGGGTCGCGTGTCAATAATGTCTAAAAAAAAAAAGGAGAAAAAAGTTTTTACCAACAACCTTTAACTTTCACCCCACCAAATATTGGTTCACAAAAGGTTATTGGTTACCTAATTTGTTGGTTATTGTTTCCTCTCTCCACTGGTTTGACAAAATCACGAACGGAGCATCTAATGGAAAGCTACAATTAATTCGTACTTATGAGTACCTTTGAAATGTGGCTTCCATATATTGCGCACCCATCGTCCATATCCGTCCCACAGAAAGTTGCATTTGACTTGACAACCTTTACTCCTTATTCTATCCATGGTTTCCTTTGATATGCTGGACATATTTGCTTACATAGAGAATAAAAAGTTCTTTGAATAACATAAGAAAAAAGTTCTTTGAATAACATAAGAGCATTAGAAAATCGCCTACAGATCTCAAGGGGCTTGGGTAGACTTCTTAGAATTGCAAACCAGTTCCTTAACGAAATTTGGTCAGCAAGTTGGAAAGTATTTCCATGGTACATCAGTTTGGTGCAATCAATACCATACCTCACCAAATAATTACCTTCACGAAAAGTAAGCACCTGTCCGTAATTAGGGTAATGCATTCTTGTCAAAGCTCAGTCAATTAAGTCAACACAATACTTAGGAGTCCACTACTTCCTGAATTATGATCTTATATCATTGTTACAACCAGGCTAATGTCAGGAGAGACTGGCAGTAGAATTAAGAGCTAGCGCATGCAACCTTGAACTGCTTCATTGTGTTGAAGTTTTCGAGAAAACTGAGGAGCTTACCATTCTTAGCAGGAGGAATTGGTAATTCCACAGGACTCCCACCCCATAACGGCGCTTGAAGATAGTCCTTATTTCCTTCAACCTCTGGGTGCCGCTGATATTTCCCTTGTACATTGCCTTGGAAATGAGAAAAAAAGAAAGATGTGATCGGATCTTCAAGTGGTTGTGAAATATTTAATGCCGGACAAACCCCTACGCAGGTATGCAACACAAGCACATTTTATCGTTTCTAATTTTTTTTTCCTTAAAGCATTAATCGAGCATGGTTTGTTGCGTCGAATGAGCAATCCAATGGTAATATGCAAAATACATGCATACTGGGAAATGAAACCCATCTTTGACTCACCAATAATAAACCAATCCACTGGAGGGTCCTTAAATCCATTGCATGAAGTAAAATCCAAAATGACGCTTGCCTTGTAGACTCCAGCTTCCATTGCAAGGAACAGAACTTCGTATGTTCCGTTTCCGTGATCAATAACTGTCGGAGAGATAGAGGAAAGTCCCCTTATAACAACCCTCCAAGAGTCACCACCCTCGAGTTTAGGATGACCCTCCTTTGTTTGAGACTGGATGCTAAAACGGCTGTATTGCCCGGCGGGTCTGATATCCCACAGTGAGATAAAGCTTGCATCTGGATCGGTGGCATTTTTTTCAATGTCTCTTGACGAGTTCCATGGCATTTTGTTTTTGCATGGTAAAATCATGGCCTGCCAATCCCGTCTCGCTCGTCTTTGTCGACACCAGTGTTTGGTGAAATCAGCAACTTCCTTGCTTGGGGACTCATTTACAATCGACGAGGATATACTATCTATAGCTACTATATCTCGTAACCGAATGGATGTTTTGTGACCAGCCAAGTCCAGCTCGTTCTTCACTAAAGGTTTTGATAACCACAAAAATACGTAGATAACAATAAAGACAGCAAGAGAGATTTTGTAGAAGTCTCTGCTGGATCCTGTTGAGCGAGGAAGGACCTGGATTCGCATGGATTATCTGCACCTTTCACTCTCTCAGTGTCTTAATTTTTGCGCGTTATCATTATATAGAACTTTGTGCTGAACAGAATGGACGAAATTACGTAAGAATGCACAGATTATTACGAATGATATTCCGTCACACCCGTTACCAAACATCATAGTGGAATCTGCAAACATGAAATATTTGCAGCGAATTATACACATGCAGGTATCCAAATGGTGCCAAGTAGTGTCAATTAGTTTTTTCCTCTACTTAAACATGTGCGTGAGGTGGTTCACGGTAAATCTAGCTCTGAAGGGAACTGACTACCTAAAGTTGAGTTTTGAGTGATTACTCAGAAAATTGAGGAGTTCAGTCCCTCTGTCTACCTTCTCCAATTGCGTTTTTAAAGGAGGGTCAAGTTGAATCATTACAACGGGAGAGATATTTCTAGAACCATCAGAATCTTCTTTTCAAAAGAAGTCTCTCGAAACTTTGCATTCCGCCGTTTAAAATCCAATTTTAAACACAACTAGTGGACCTAAAAGCTAACGAACCAAAAAAGGGAGAAGTTGAATAATTCACAAATATATTACCCTACAAGTCTTCATACGAACCGTTTATCAATGAACGCTATTTCAAAGAAACATAAACCCATAACTCGGTGTAAAGATAAACATTCTCAAGATCACAAAGGAAAAATTATTCTCGTATAGAATTAGTACGAGAAACCAACGTTTTACTACAGATATGTAGATGATTATTATGATGTAATAAATACGTACCTAAATATCCGCCAGCTACTTTCAAATTCCTTTCAATTAGACATTTGCCCCGGTGACTTACAAATAATTTTTCTCTCCTGTGTGATATTATCAGTAGATAACGCTTATGACCTTCGTTTGATTTAATGATGCGGAAAAAAGCCAGGGTATAGGAACTAAACAAAGTCACAAACAAGCTCTTCTTGGTTAGAGCTTTTTTGTTTGTGCCTCACGAACACAGGTACCGGGTAGACTCACCGAGGCATGGTAAGAGTGGACCTTTTTGTGTTATAAAACCTTGCTTTTCGTAAGTATCTCTCCGTTTTGTTTTTGGTTATACTTATTTTTTTTACGAAAAGGAACAGTATGACTCCTGTAAATAAAAATTAAACGAGATAGATTGCTGAGGATGGGCTTTAATTTGGGTGAGTGAAAAAAACTGGTTGAAAACTCTCCACATTGCTGCCTCCAACAATCAAATTGCAATGCAATGCTTGGTGCCTTGTACGGGGGGCATAAACATGAGTGACCAAGAGATAATTTCTCCTTACAATAGCGATACAATATCTAGTACACAAGTGATAAAGAATAAGAATAAAGGAAAATATTAATTAGGGGATTATTAGTTGATCCAATAACAAATTCTCCGAAATAAAATCATAAGTATTGTATGGCAGACAGTAGAGATAATTACTGATGAGATCTCGGAAGCGAAAGGGTTAAAACACCTGAAAGAATTATGAGCTATGTGACGAACTTCTGTTTTGTCTCCATTACAGCAAAGTATTGCTCGTCTGTTGTTCGTCCTCAGGGTCCCAGACTACATGAGCAGGGTGGGAATGACGAATGATGCGTTCAAGCGACACATTCCTGTGTATTCATGGATCAACGAGTTTTTCCCTTGCTCAAAATAAATTCTGTTGGATAAGATGCACGCGCTTTAGCCAGTCAGAAATCTTTATTTCAAATTTCAGGTTGAAAGAGAGCGGTAACTTTAGGTAATTGAACCTGTCAGTTCCAATTACTTTTAGCCAAAACGAATTGTTTATTTTTCTAAAATTGACAAGATATCTCCGTTTGACACCGTATAATGGACCCACCTGTAGGACCTGCCTCATAGAGAAACGGATGACAGACCAGACCTTTTCAATTGTGAAATTTCGAAAATTAAGATACAACCTTTTAAGCTTTTAAATTGTTTCAAGTCGTTCACCTGTGACTTGGTTCTTGATGGAAGGAGAAATGGTACGTGAACTAAATGGTACAGTATAGAACTATCTTGAATGCACAGACAATCTCTAAAATCAAGCTCTTCACATAGCGGACCTGAACTTCTTCAAAACTACTAGTTAATCAATGACTGATCGTCAAAGAAAGAGTCCATTGTCTCAAGAAAATATCACAATGACAGCGTATTTCATCAAGTTGTCTGAGGAACAAGACGAGAAAGACAAAGGGAAGATTTCTTGCCATCCCGGAAGAAAATTCTTCTTTACTGTCGCCACAGTCCTTATACTCCTCGCAACATTTCGTCTTTGGCTAATTACCCATCTGGTAACCGCGCCGGGAAACTTAAAAATGTACTAGACATCTACTTCAAATGCTTCCTAGGGAAATTAGTGGGATCCGACATGAACGTCATCTCCCAATATATATAGAGCTTCGAATGAAAGTCTCTGGCATTGCGTTATGATTTAAGACGAATGGAACAAAAAGACTTCATCTACTTTTGAATGTTTTCTTATCCAGTTTCTATCAATACTTTGAGATTCGTCCCACGCTTTTTTAAAATTAACTGCAGAAGACAACATATGCCTTCTTATCCTCTTTTTTTCTTATTAATTTTTCTCCTATTTAATTTTTTTAATTGAAAATATGATTGTCATGTCATGGTGACTTAAGGAAGCAACCGAGTCGCTTACGCTGAGGCTGCTTTTAGCAAATTTAAGGATTCGATAGAAAACCGCAGTAACATAGTGTCAAAGACAAAACTGGCATCTAGCAATTTAACTTTTTTAAGTGTTGGAAAATAAATGGAAATAATATGTTTTCATAAGCCATTTAGCAAAAATATAGTAAGCTAGTTGATCAGTTCTTACTTCCTTGGCGGTTTTGCTTTACAAGCAGAGCTGAAGAGCTTCGAAGCAAGGATATCAGTTATTTTCTGACATGCGACTTACAATTATCTCAATACAAGACCAGAAGTTGTCTTATCCGGTTCAGTGGGGAGATTGAATACAAAAGTACAGTTCTCTCTGAAAGTGACAACTTTATATTGCTTTCATGGACACAAAGTCACCGCTAATAAGTGACAATACTTATTTTTTAGTTGGTTTTCCAACCATGGGTACACCCTTACAGCGAGATGAAGAAAGTCTATTTTTGAACCACCCGAGGGGAAGACCTAAATATCGTCGGTAGTTATTTAAAATTGATCCCAAAGAGATCAAACCCGTAAGCGCTTCAAGAAAGACCATGTAGGCTAGAAACTGTACGTGCTCCAACCAAGGAAGGCTAAATCATCCGGCTAATAAATAAACATAGACGCGACAGCTGTGTAATTCTCACACTAACGACGATCTCAATTAAAATTAAATTAAATTCGTGCAAAGAAACTGGCTAACGAAGGACATGAAGTGTTCAAGCCGGTCAGGTTTGATGTCACTACTCTAGAAATATTGCTTCTGAGTTCTTTCAGTTCAGGAAATCCACATTTGGCTTCATTACACCAGGCGTGGCTCCGGCCAAGTCGACATCTCATGTCATACATACAAACATATATTATTTTACATGCAATGTAATCGATATGTGTACACTACCCCAAAGCTGTAATGATTGCCAAAAAGGTTTGCGGCAAGAGCTCATGAATTCTGAATCAGTTATGAGAGTGTACACAATTTACGATTATGTTTCTGATTCAGAAATACGAACATCGACAGTCTTCTACAACAAATTTGATGTAATAATGAGTTTGACGTAAATCCTCATCAATCGATATATAACACGATCCATTTCTCATTGGATGAAGCGTCAAGATAAACCCGGTTGATTGTCTTAGTGGACGACAGAGACAGCATAAGTATAGTCTTCTCCAACACAAAGTTCCAGATAAACAAGAGTTAACGAAGAGCATTATAATTTCTGTTGGCTGAAAAAAGTTCAATCATCAAGCAAAGGAAGCTTTAAAGATGGAGAACACAACTCATCTGGACGAAAAGGCATCGAACAACACATCATTTCGTTCCATGAATGAAGTTTTCATCTTCATGTCTCTTTATGTCGTGCTCTCTTTGATGACCATCACTGGAAACACTTTTGTTATTGTCGCCTTCAAGAAGATTCGAATTCGAGCTGCCATAAATATGTTCTTTGTCAGCCTGGCTGTGTCAGATTTGATGGTTGGGGCAGTTTCAATTCCACTGTGGATCTACCATCTGTCCTGTCCCTCTTTCAAAAGATGCCGTCTACCAAGTGCCACTGTAGGAGCCTTTTTTCAAGCATTCGACGTGTTTAGCGCGATGGCTTCCACATCAAACCTCATAGCCATAAGTATCGAGCGATACTTTGCTATCTGTTGGCCCGTTAAGCACCGAGTGAGCTCCCACAAGCGTTACTACAAAATGCTGTTCACCACTTGGATCTACTCCGTGCTAGTCACAAGCATTTACTCAGTCGATTTCAGCCCAACATGGCAAAAATATCGTGGCTTACTGGTATTTGTGGCAGGCTTCGCTGTCCCTCTCATTGTCCTCATTGGCATGTACAGTAGTATCCACTGGGGTGTCAAGAACATGAATGCAAACTGGAAACGAGCAAACGCCGAGACATCGGTCCTTTCTAAAAGGCTTCAACAAGAAAGGCGAACAGTCACGACGATGGTCATCGTGACTGCGTTGTTCTTAGCCTCCTGGCTTCCCTTTTTTGTGGTATCCCTGCTTTGGATTTTTCAACGTTCGAGTCTTCTTGGCGGTGGAGGAGGAAAAGGATTCATGCGGCTTATGGACTTCATAAAATGGATGCATTACAGCAACAGTGCAGTGAACCCGCTTGTGTACGCCTATCGTAGCGAGGAGATGAGAAGAATTTTGGTAAAATTGCCTGAAAGGGCTCTTGGAATGGAGCTTGAGAGGCGTCGGGCAATTCGACCAGAAAATAGGAACAAGTGGCTTTAAAAAACTTGGCTGTTTTTCGACCAAAGTTAAGTGAACTTTGTGCCTTGTGTACTTTTTTCCTTAAAAATATAGTCCACAGGTTGGAAATAGAGAACATTAATAATCATGCGAACTGGTGCGCACAAACAGCTTGCACGGATATCAGGGGTACATAAGTCAAGAAGACGATGGTGGAAATTTTGGTAACTTATGAAACTTCTCCTCTTTTCAGCGCTTGACTCTCGATCAGTTCTATCTCTTTGCTACTTTGGTAGGGTTTTCTTGTTCTAATTTTTCGCTTTTAAAAGCAGCATACACTTTTTTTTTCGGCCAGGGTGAACAAATAGATGTTACAACGATTAACCCCCAAAAAACCTAAACTCAAATTGTGAGAAGCTATATTGCTGTTGGGTGCGTTTAGAAATCTTAAAATAACGTCGACAATTTTTTTCCCCAATTAGTAAAGTTGCAAAACACCCAACTGGCTACGGCTCGATAGGAATACCTGGAATTAGTACTAGCTTTCTATTTCGTGTAACGGACATAGTTGACGTAAAGAAAAAAGAATAAAAGCAGGGAACAAAGCTTATCCTTGTGTGCTGATGATGATTTAATCAATGGAAAGACAGGTGGTAAATTATCCGGTATCAGAACTTTCTCTCTACTATTGACATCCTTATAATTATAAAACAAAGAAAAGATTGAGAATTGTTAAGTTCTGATCTTTGATGGACAGATCAATATGTAACATTTAAAAGGACATTTTTATAATTAAGGCATCATTTACTCCACTATGAGTAACTTCAAATTAAGTCAAGTTTTTTTAATGATCGACCCAGAGAAAAATATTGCCAAGTTTCAGTCTAAAGTGGTTTGTGAGAGTCTCTATTCAGTTCTCTTTTTAAAAGTTTATTTATATATGAAGTTGTGTCTGAAAAGCGCGTAATTTATTATTCGGAATCATTTCCCACTTTTATTTCATCTTAAAAGTTCTTTGCGCCCACTCACCTCATCCAGAATCTAGATGAAAGTTGGTCTCTATTTCTGGGACGACTTATGTCCTTTTTCGAGTACAAAATTGATTTCTACTCCCTAGAAAAGCTTCCACCGCAAAGCATGTGCAATACCTAGACAGTTTGATTGGAAAATGAAAAGCAACAACTAATTACCAAATAAGGGAATAAACGAGAACTCTATTCTCTTTCCTTGTGCCAAGGAAATGTTTTTCAGTCAAATCTGATCACCAGGGCACACTTTTTTCTGCATTTACCATCATCTGAAAAAGGAAAGCTGCTTAAAAGAGGGGACGATGGTTATATATGACCAGAATAAAGAGGAAAACGTTACAGGTTCAGTTAAAACCTTTTCGAAAACTAGCGTTTTCGACGGAATAGCGTTAGGAAAGTTAAGCTATACGTGTTGGAAGTACGGGTCGATTTAGCGTTCCGGAGGGTTGCTAAAAGTGTCAGCAGGGCTTAAAAAAGTAAGGATTGCACATTTGAGAGTTCAAGAGACTCAGGGATAACAATAGACACACTTAAGAAATCTTTCCTTTCCTGTTCTCGTATTTAGTTTGGTTTTTGTGCTGTTTCTATGATGTACTGATTATAGCTTGCGCCGCATGAACAATTGCGTACTAGCAGGAGTTCATCTGATTGACGTCCGCTCGCTGTAAAGGCAAAATCGCCTGAAAACACTTTCGAATCAATCAATTCGTGTTACACCCTCAGAGATGATGCAAAACGATTTGACATTTTCAGTATGAATTTTTCGGAAATGTCTATAAAAAAGTGACACTTGTTTATTTTACCTACAGTTACTGAATCAGGTGACAAATGACCAAAATTTAGTTTGCTTCAGATTTACTTTGAAAATCTCCATCTTGTATGAGTTTTCATCTGTTTTATACTAAGTAGCGACTTTTTCCAGAGAAATTATAGAACGTTTTAACATTGTTACGCTACTACAAAGGCCTTGTTTTGATGCAATGCTGTCAAGAGTTTGTTTGACCATATTTCCTATGCGCTCAAACAGCGTCACCTTTTCATTAGAACTTCGCTTTTCTTGTCATTAGAACTGAGTTCAGTGAACATTTAAAAGAGTGCTTCTATTCACCCATTACAAGGTCAGAATGCTACAGTTGGTGCAAAATGTCACTCGTAAATCGAAAGATGGAAAAAAATCCTTCAATGAAGTGCACTCGCACACCTATCTTGTTGGTTCAGCCTTTTACTGTTAAAAAAAAAAATATTAAAATTCGTAACAGTTGTAAACATGTCATTCCTAGACAACAATCATCCAAACTGGAGACAATTCATCGATACATTCAGAAGTGACGTTTTTTATTCGCTAACCGTGATTTTGTAGTTAAAAGTGTGGGCACTTCTGTGCATTGTGAGGCGAGCACTTAAGATTTCTTAACTGCATGCTTTTTCTCAAGATTTTATTCAAGCTTATGAATAAATAAAAAGTGCATAATATGCTTTTCGTGTTAAATGATTTTCAGCAATGTTGAAATAGGAAAGTAAACGCCGCAAGGTTATATGTATTTATGTCCAAAGAAAACATTGAGAATTCTTCTTTTTATTTCAATGAATGAAATTCGAATTATTCTGCCGCTCTTAAGGAAAATATGATTCATTAAGAGATATGCCAGTTATAACTAAAGGGACTAAGACTAAACACAGGTAGCCAGACGCCACTGTCTAGTAGCAAAATTCTCTGTGGATTACATAAATCTTTAAATCAACAAAAAAAAAATTTTTGGCAAATGATCGTTCATTTTTTCCTGCATGTGCGTCTGTGGGGAGTGAAAAGATGGATAGGCCAATCACATTGGCCGTAAAGGTTTTTAATTATAAATGGACTCGCCATGATTTTGAACTCAATTTAAGCCGCAGTTCCGAAGGTTTTCCATGGGTTAGCTATCAGATAACCTGCTAGGACAACAATAGGAATCGGAGTTGTAAGTAATGCCATCTAAGTTCTTCAACCTCCAGATCATAGTTTTGTTGAAGCAGACGTTGCTATAAGAGCGGCAGTTTGAACAACATCAATAACTGTATTGGTGCACCTATATATTTTTTTTTCATCCCAAAGGTCTTGTAACAACCAAGGGGTCGTTCGACGATCGACGAAAGGAAGAACCTAGGTAAAGGTAAAATCTAGCCACGTAGAATTGTTCCACATAGAAATTTAGTAACCCAGAACTGAAGTGTGCCACTAAAGATAATTATATACACGAATGCGTGGGTGATGTAACAAATTTAACTTTAAGCAAGAGAACATATAGCAGGAAAATTAGTTTTTCATGTAACCTCCGGCTTGATGCGCGATAGAAAATGTAGAATGGCAAGAAAAGATGCAAACAATTTAAACATTACCTTTATCTAGGCCAGAACCAACATTTGGAAGTTACGAAACACTCAATGTTTGGGTCACTTTCGCATTTAAGCTCCCCCCCCCCCAACTTACATTG